CAAAATATCAAAATATCAAAATAGCTTTGCAATCTTATCAAAACCTGCATTTAATAAACTTTTACTGATATCCGGTTTTTGGCGGTTTCCTAAAATCCGTAACCGAAAGCAACTTTAGCTTCTTGAGTTCCCTCCAACCTTTCCCACCTCGTGTGCTTCATATCTCGATGAATGAATACCCAACGTAAGAACTAATTGTGTTATAACATTGTCATCGCAGTTGTTTTGACGTTCCTTTCTTAAAGTTTAAAACTTCAGAGAAAGACAGCGCACAATGCATCCCAGATAAATCGTCTTCAAGATATATTCATCTAGGAGCAGTGCAACAACCTACTCTCAACCTGAAAAGATGATAATTTTGGGTGAAATGAACTCAGAAATGAAAATTTTAGATAAAAATCATAGAGCGATCGGATTTCAAAGTAGAAGTACACAGATGTCAGGTTGATCAAATAACGACGTGCTAACCGAAAACTACAACTAGAAAGCTGGGCAAAAATCATAAAGAAATATTTCAAATATTGGAAGTGAAAGAAGTCTGAGTTCCTTGCATATGGGAACTACGCAATAGAATCAACATGCCTGAATCGATGGCTGCTAGACTTCACAGCCCTAAAAATTACATTATGTTGTATTGAAAATTCCGAGAGTTGTAAGATTTGAATCAAAATCTGCTGTTGCCCAACACTTCAAAGACATATCAACAATCGAAAAATAATATTACCTGGCCAAAGAATGGTCTGAAAGTGCGAAGCCCCACTTAAGTCAGCAAATTCAGTTTCACTTTACAGCCTTAGTTCGTAACGCGTTGGTGGGAATCGTTGTAGTGTTAACTCGAGGGTTATTTGCGTTGCTTTCCATCGCTTTCCAAGTCGAATATCTTTCCGTTAATTTGCTTTTCTTTTAGAACTCTTAAAAGTCCATCTAAATCGGGATGGAACGGAAAAAAGACATCTTAAAAATCTTCATACAACGAAGCATCTGTTTGCTGACGTCATACGTGTGCACGATAGGATTACGACGCACGCTCGCGCAATTGAATTGATTAGCTGTGTCGTAATATTCCTTGTTATGGGACCTTGATTAATCTATATAAGCAAAATTTCAGGATTTTTTTTCTCAGCGAACTAAGTTTACGTGCAGGTGATATTTGTGTTCGCGATCGGCACTCGGTGAATGTGAAATGTGATTCAAAATCGTCTTTGGTTCACATGCATTCAATATCACTTCGCCATCTAGTGCCGAGGCATGAACACAACAACCGGGCATGAAATTCGTGTATCTACGATACCATGTGCAGGCGCTGGTTTTTAAGAAACCGCCACAAACTAGATATCAAAAAGAAGTTATTAAATGCAGATTTTGATACGATTAAAGGTATTTTGATCTTTCTTCTTTCAAGGCGAAGGAAGTCGGTAAACAGAAAATGACCAGACGCCACTCCGTCGAGTTAATCGGGTATCAAAGATGATCTATGATTAAACGTAACTGCACTGTGTTAATAACAAACGATCAGTTACTATTAGCTTTCTTTAACAAATCTGTAAGGTGTAATATTGAAAAACTTGAAAAACATTTGTTAAAGGAAAAAGAAAAAACAAAAAAGAAAAGAAAAGAAGATCACCAGTATCTTCCTCGTTTTCCTGTAAATGTACGGGCCAAATTTCCTCGCATATCCTATTTTAAAATTCGTTCGAGGAGCTAGGGGCATTTTAAAAAAATTATATTATTAGTTTTCATCTCTTAAACGTCTTACGCCCGCCCAGAGACATGTGTCAGCATTAGGCTCTGTGAGCCGCTAGCCAAAAATACGTTAGTACCCCTTACACAAAGAAAGGCCCCTCTAGATTGTGCTAGCGTAATTTTTGGCATAATTTGGAAAGAATAACATAATTTTTGAACTTCTTATAAAAGCAGCACTACTAGCTTGCATGATCAGCACAATTTAAGTTTACTTGACGGGAACATTACCAGAGAGATAGAGTCATGACTTGTTTGGTCTCTAAGATTGATCATTTTTAAGTTCAGTTTTTTGTTCAATTTTGCAATGTGTTGGATAAATAAGTTTATCGCAACAGTGCGTCGTTCGTCGTTGAATGGACTGCAGAAACCGGAAGTACAGATCGGTCACAGTTTCCGCTCTCACAAGTAACTAAATGGGTGTGTGGTAGTGAGCTGTGATGTAACAGAGCAAGTGTTTGATTCATGATCAAAAAGACACATGTTTATCAACATCATATGTATAATTTTGAGATGTTTAGTGTTTCTCTTTTTAAAAATATACTTTAGGAAAAAGGAGAATGATGTCCAAAAACGAGCAGATTTTAGAGCATAATTTGGAAAAAAAATCGACTAATGCTGTTTGAGTAATATGCTACTTTTACAAGTGAAATTTCATGCACAGAGGCCAACCTCAGTGAGCTCTCATGAACAAGTTTGCGATCACTTTAGTCAGATAATAGTAAAAGCAACGGTAACGCAAGTTTATTGTTATATTCAGTTCGCCCAAATGATTTGAATCATTTCACTCGCCCAATTACATATGTACACGAGGGAGTCAAGTCATTTAGCTTTGGTTTGGAACTATCAATGGGTGGCGTGACATTTTCTGAGCGGCAGACACAAACGTGTCTCGATAAAAACGCACTGTACACTGATTCAGCAATGGTAACTCCGCCATCTTGTACCTTTGTCGAGGCAGCATTGCTGTGTTTATGGGCGAGTAGTAACGACTGGAAATGCCGGATGGAATAGAACAGCTCCTGAATTTCCAAATTTACAGAAAGATGGAGGATCTCAAGAGCTTGAGAATTTCCAAACGAGTTTCCGAAAACTTTCCTTTCCATTCGATTTTCTGTTGGAATTTCAGGAAAATTTTTTTATCTAACGGAACCACTTTGCAACTGATGACTCCAAGAAAAACATACCCTGCTGTATTTCTCGCGACTTCCGTTTGTATTGTAGCCAAAAAAATGTCACTTTTTCAAAGACGCTAGTTGTTGCAATAAGGTAGCATATCAGAAATATATCTTTTCTATGCGATACGTGCAACTGAAGAAAAGAGAACTGTCTCTTTTATGTCTCTGACCTGAAAGAGACAGTGCGAAGTGACTAATCTTATAAATGATTAAAGACATTATAATTATTATTAAAAATAGTTCTAATTTCATCGAGAATGTTCGAAGTGACTAATCCAAATATTTGCTTCGAAGCCACATGTTGGGAGCGCTTCCAACGACTCACTTCTTAGTAAGGGGCCCATTCATGTCTAAGTTTAGCGGGTCCATCTGGTATCTGGAAGGCCAGGCCAAAGTCGAAGCTTTTTTCCTTCAATTTCTTTAACTGCAGTTCACCTGCAACCATCATTTTTTCATGCATGTCAGCATATGATGTAAATCTATTAAATTAAGATACTTGCTATTGTAAGGAATTTCCAATTGAACAGGAAACGGCGAATTAAGGGGAAATTAAGATAATTTCGCAAAACTTGATTACTGAACGGTAGTTCAAACGACTTCACGTCACGTCCCAGTGATATGGTAAACGTGCACGTTCTCACGAAGTCCACACAAGACTGACCATGGGCGAGCCAAAAACGAGGAGGGTCTTTACGACCCCTTGTCGAACATTCTCGATAGAATTAGAACTATTTTTAATAATAATTATAATGTCTTTAATCGTTTATAGGATAAAAATATATTTCCTATGTTACAAGTTAAAATCTAAAGCGTATCGTACAAGGTATAAGAGGAGCAAAGGTTAAATTTTAAGCCACGTCACGCGGCATCATCTCAGAAGTTCTCTTTCCGAGAATATTAGCAACCGTATAATCGGTAACAAATGAGTTTTATTGGTTGATTGAACTTTCGGATCAGACTAACCTTCCCTTAGTTCCAGTAAATACTCGAGTGGAGATCTACGAAGTTGCTGTGTTTTTATTTTGTCATTATTAATACTATTTTTATTATAAATATAATCATCATTATAAAATAGTTTTTATTTCTCTTGTAGTTTTTCTGTTTTTTTTTTGTTTGTTTGTTTGTTTTCATTTTGCAGCCTATTAATTGTTTCAATTCGTCGCACGAAAAACCTATATTACAGGAGTGTTATTTTTCAGAAGGGCGATGTCAATTTATATTCTAAGGGATCAATTTTGCGATTCAAGATGACAAAATTTTCTCTTCTGAACTCTTATCTGTGCAATTCTTTTTTAAAGCAGCAGCGTGACATAAATATAAACGACTGTCAAATACGGTAAAGACAAACTGTTTCAATGTTGTTGTTAAAAGCGAAACACTCACGACAGCGACACCATGACCGTGGGAATCCGGACAGCAATTATGACAATTTGGTAAAAAGTAAACTATTTATTTAAATTGACTTTGAAGATAATAAATCCATGACGAATGCGTCTTTATTTTATAGATACTGATGAAATATCGGGATTTTTTTTTTTACTAAAAACTCATATCTTCATCCCGCACAGTGAAGATACTATTTTTATCTTTCACTAACTATCTTTTACTAACATGATGAGCCAATCACAAGAGAGCTTCCCGCGGCCGGTTCTTTTGAAATTTCATTCACAAAATGGCTTCGAGGTGCGAAGACGGTACATTTACCTGTGACTTTCTCGATGAGCTGCCAAATTTTCACATCGATACTTTTTGCGAGCTTAAAGAACATTCAGGAAGATTTGCTGAAGTCTCGGTAAGGTATGATCAAAAATTCATTGAAAATTAATTTTAAAAAATTTGTCTTTTATGCAGGAATTTCATAAGTATCTATAAAATAAACAGGTAATTACATGGCCAATGTTGGAATTTTTACTACAAAGAAACCAAAAAAATAGTTTCTTTCTGACAATATACCAATTCATAACCTAAATTAAACTTTAACGCACGATTTCGTCGCCTTAGCTGTTCAGAGGTGGATATTATCAGAGAACGCTAAAAAATCACTATCAACTGATGTGCTGTGTACTTATCCCTGGGAAAATTTTAAAAGTCTACTGGTCTAATTTTCATTTCAGTTGATGAAGGAGCGCTGCCTTCGGCGCTGGTTCGAACTAACTCTGCCCAGTGAATATCTGCAGAGGTTTTACTTCCACAACGCGGATAAATACCATTGAGATTTGAAAAAACAGCACAATTAATACCGTCGCCATACCACCAGCCTCTGCCACTTCTTTGAGCACAATCAACAGGTTCTCTATCCCAGGTACCAAAAACGAGATTCCTGTGGGGACCGTGAGAATCAGAGGAAACAGTGGCATCTGTTTCAAAACAAAAGAAATTCGCATAATTCTAGGATTTGTATAACGCCTTTTTCAGCGGATAACTTGTTGTTAACCGGAAAAAAGGAAAATATTAAGGTTAGTAAGAACTGAGTTCCTTACGTGGCACAAATACCTAACTCCAGACCGAGTAAAAACCAATCAGGTTTACCTCAGGACTACTTTGCCAGCCCATAATACCATTACTCGACCAAGTAGAGTAAAATATTAAGATTTAAATGAGAGGGAATTAACATGTATAAATCGAATGATGAATGCTGAAAAAAAAGGAAACCGTTAACTTACTTGTAATATTGCCAATGTATAGCCGATACTTAGCTGTCTCGTTCCCAATCCCAAACCAGTCATACTCAGGGTGAACAGTTTTGCCAGTAGTTACCCCCAGATCTACCCGAAGCTTGTTCTTTGTCTTGTTTCGAGTCAGGCGGTTTATCTTGTCCAGTCCCAGCCAAAATTCACCGACCAAGTTACCGAAGCCATGTTTGTATTCGTTCCAGGTGCGGTTAAAATCAACGGAGCCATCCATTCTCTTCTGGATCACCGTCCATCCCCCGTTGGCTGTAGTTTGGTCACAATATACATTAAAGGCGCCTGAACCATCTGGGTCGATAGTGTAAACACCACTAATCCTTCGTCCGGATTTGTACAGCTCAGCACAGTTCCTAGCTGTTGTAGATAAAATAAAGATGCTTGACGTTTTGGGCATGCTCTCAAAGAGGGGGTTTGGTATGAATGTGCTTATATCATCTGACAAAGTATCTGTCTTGGAGAGAAGACTACGGACTTGGATTCTTCATATATCTTTTATCTTTTGAAAGCGCATCAAATCATAAGATAAGAATAAAAAAATTATTTGAAAAAACTCGACAAATGACCAAAGATTCGAAAAAAGTTTGGAACATTTAAATTATTCTGTTGTCAATGTTCAGCTACACAGCAGCTTGAACAGAGAGTTGCTAAAGATAAGAGCTCCAAGCATGTTGGAAATTTTGTCATCTAGATTCGCTAAAATGATTTCTCTGAAAATAAATGGAAATCGCCGTGCATAAGACTACCTTTTTCGTGTTACACTGTATAATGATAAAGATAAAATGGAATAACCAGTACAATTAAAAAAAAGTACACGTACATCGCACCAATGTTCTGTTCTCTGTGAGAATTTTAACCTCAAATTGAAGTTGGGCCAGTTCCTTCATGATTTCTTCTAGGCAGAAAGCAGTGTTCTTCTGGCAATCAATTGGGGCTGCACTTGTTGATGGTATAAACTGAGAATTCACAAAAAGTGCCAAAAGCAGCAGAGCTGAACCTGAAGAGAAGAAGTCATTTAGCGGTGTGAAGTCATTCCAGCTTAAATATTTTATGATCAGTACTACGCACTTTACAGAATGAGTTGAACAACCGAGAGAACTTAATAATCAACGAGTGCTTTTGATTCGGAAATTGCACAAAGTAAAAAAGACCAAAAGTTGTGCGTTTATAACACTATAACTTGTTTTCTTAGTAAAACTCAAGATGTTCCTTTAAAGAACCATATTTTTGGAGGCCTTCTGCTCCACCAGTTTTCTGTTTCGTCTTTTGATGAAATAAACAAAGGCTACTTTTTTCAGCCACAGGCTTCTCTATAACATTTTCAAGAATAATCCGTGAGCAAGTTACGAGTCATTATTTTTTAAAATAGACAGGAAGTCCCCGATAAGAACACTTAAAAACATCGAAGGAAGTGATCGAAGACAGCTTTCGTTTATAAGAACCTGGAGTCAACTTCAAGCTCTGAGTATACGAATTACGAGTTACCAACTTACCGAGACGACTATCTGCTTCAACAGATAAGTTTTCTTTCGGAGCAGTCAATTTTCACTCCGTTGGGCGATTAATTGTAAATTACTTGACTGAACGACCAATGCGGGGGAACTTTAATGATTCGGAACACTTGCTTGGCCTAACTGAAGGGCTGAAAATCCTTCGCCAATTTCCTTAAATCGCGGATCTGCAACAACTAGATTTTGTTCATTTATGAAAAAACGGAATTTCTCCGGTTTCCCTGCACCCAGGGAAAGCACCATTCATGCACTTCACATACAAAAAAATATCAAGATATATCACCGCATTTATCAACGTGGCAGTTTAACGTATCTGTTTCATCTTTTAAGCCAGATCAACATTCAAGTTTGTTGAGAAAAGCCGTCGCCAAAAAATTGAGCCAGATGAACTTGAGGAACAGAATAAGTGCATTAATTCTTTGGAGAGACAAGAAAAGGCGGCAGAGAGCAATATTGAATGAAAGAAGGAGAAGGCACCTGAAGCCTTGTTCTTTAGCAAAATTCCGTCAGAGAATCCTTAAATATTACTGTACCAGATAAACTTTACGCCTTGGCGTTCCCGTACAAAAAGCAACGCAGCGATTTCAGGACCGTAATCATCAGCATGTTTTCAGAAGCAACATGAACGCAAGTAAACTTTCAAGGAAGAAGGAATGCAGTCCTTTCCAGCTAGATGGAAAGGACTTAAATCTTAGACCGTGCGAAATTCGACGAATCAGATAATGAATATTCGCATGACACTTGTTATATGGGAAAGTCATTTTCAAAAAATGATCATAGTTTTCCATCTCGACATTGACTAGACCTTGAATAGCCATTCCAAAGGTAGAAACAGACTTAAAACTGAAAGGATATTTTCGATAGAACAAATGTACGATTGAGCTGGAAAACAGAATTGTGCTAGGCTCAGAAAACGAAAATTATAGGACTGAATAGGCCTCCACGAGCACAAAAGTTCGACTGTTCTACTATATCAGACAATCCGACTATTCTTTATTCAAAGCCACCATCGAAAGACATTCAAAACGTTTACAGTTCGACCTCTTTTTCTTGCGTTTGATAATACAGAGTGAACTTTTCGAAAGTTCTTCCTGTTTGTTTGGATTAGAAATTAGTTATAAATGCCATAGATGTGCAAACAATCTCATATTTTAAAAAGTAAGCATTGCATCTAATCACTGCTTCAGTTATGGACGAGTCTCTTTAAGATGCAAGTTCTTCATCAAAGAGCTAGATTTCACATACCCGTTCGTTGTTGAATACCTCTCATTGTAATTCTTTTGGTGTTGCATGCAGTATCACTCAGAAATGCTGCCAAAAATGGATGATGGTGAGGTTTTGTCCAAACTGATTGGACTCGACTCCTATTGAGTTATAAGAAGCTTGATGGAGCTGCGTCCGCACATGTTCCATGCATCAATGCCTCTCCAAGTCGAGAGAGTCAAGTGCTTCAGCTATCGTCAGAGACAACACTAATTATATTAAGTTTTTCGGGAATGATGGTCGAGAGTGACCCCTTAAATTGATTACCGTTTCGGCGAATCCTCTCTTAAAAGGAAGCGAGGGAAATTTGTGGTTTTTTAGAAGGATGTTATACTTAACTGGATAACAAAATTTTTTTAAGGCCGACCTTCCTTTTGAGTACGTGCGAGTTCGTGAGAATTAAACGTTAGCGGGGGTAACTGACGTTTTGTTTGAACAGACACCACTCTTCAAGGAAATGAAAGACGAGATTCTAAAATAGATTGCAACATCTTTTTAGGGATGACCTTTTCGCGAATGGATGTCAATCGTAACAATTGTGATAAAATAATGAAAAGAAGTTAATCTCTCATATACCGGAATCTGAAAAGTCTATCAAAACTATCCATTAAAATCATTAACAAATAAATTAATTCAATAACATGTCTTCCCCTATCTGCCATCGAGCAGATGCCATAAGATGCTGAAGATCTTCTGTTTGATACTAGAGAGTTTTCTTCCAGTGCTTTGTTTCAAAAGAACCCTCAATCCTCTCCATTTAATATTAGTTTTGAAAGATATCTTGTGACTAAATATGCTATCAGTGGCATACTCATGTTATTGCGGAGCAAAGCATGCAATGGAGAGGGCTAAGCAATCACATCATAAATCGATAAATCCATGTACAACATGTACCGATAAACTGTTTTATGTCAAAGTATTTGATCAGCTTACTTTTTCATCCGGGGATATCTTTCACTCGAGTCATGTGGCTTACGAACACAACTTATTTCAAATAGTCGTGTTATCTACATTTACGATGGCTCCCTAAGGCGGAACGAGAACGAAAAGAAGATCAAGGATCAACACACAATCGCATCTCTATCCGAGTAACTTCGTGATACCGTATTTCAGAGATACAATATCTCTCATGTATTCACATGGTATCCGTTATTAAATAGTAACATTTTAGCTACCTGGTCTTCAGAGCTAAGAAATAATAAAAAAAAAAAGATTTTTCTTGTTGTTTAAACTGTCGAGTTTTGTAGTAGTTGCAGAGTGCATCATTGGCTCCCAAGTGCAAATTCATGAGAATTGTGTATGGTGAAGAGTAATAGGTTATTAATGGCATTAAAGATTAAATGGTGAAAATGTCAGTCAATCCTCAGAGCTATGACACAGAACATAACTACAGTATTTTCCTGTTTCAGTTCATGATGAATGTCAGAGTTAGTTTTGTGAAGTTTACTACGAATGTTTACTACAACTTCTCATTATTACGATCGCTTCATTTGCCCTCATTTTGACTGAAACCGTTATCACTCTCAGTGCTATAGTATTGATCCTTTAAAGTACTGCGTATACTAAAGATATTTCTGATGTGATATTTGAGGAACAGCATGTCGCTAATAATATGTATTGTTCTCTGGTCTAGAGATGAGAACGTAAATAGAATAATTAGAACAACCTGCGTAATATTATTTGGGTTACCGACGAAGAATGAAGGCTTGCAGTTCGCAGCAATATCGTACGAGAAATGATATCTAAATTTCAGTCACATTGCAGTAATCATTACACACCACGCCGTGGCCACATACCCGGAGCCAAGTACGGTCTTGAATGGATTAATTGGCCGGCAGCCGGAAATGTTTGGCCAAATTTCATAATTGTTCTTTTGAACTTCTTGAAAGTATCAAAGTTTAGTGATTTTGAGGGATTCCAGAAACAATGTTTATTTCTAGAGTTTACGAAATATGCGACCTTGGATGTCCTATATCGTTTGAGATATAGCACGCGCATAAAGGTCACAAACATGATATTCAATGGCTCCGCCCAAGTTATGTATCAAGAAGTTCAAGTTATTCACAAGTTAAACTATTATTGCCTAGGTTCAAGATGTTTCTAACTCAATAACAGTTTTTTGGCTAGAGAACTCAAGTGGCTTATCACCCCTAAGCGCAGCGACTCCTCCTGTCTCGTCCATTTGGCATCTGTCACAAAACATTTTTGTCTGGTTCAAAAATTTCTTACTCCCCTGGAAACTAATTTGTATCGAAAGAAAAATGGTCAAATAGTTTCAGTACACTTTTTCACGCGTTTGACTACAATACAAACGATATTTTGAATATTTCTATTTTAGATTGAAGCAAACATATTTTTGTGTGCAATACTGTGAAACACCACGATTGGTCAGCTGATACGTTAACCATCGTTTCACATCAGCAATGGACTTGAGCAAAATACCAGAAAATGTTGTTTTGACCATTGAAAGTTTAAAGCTCACATGGAGTGAAGCATAAGACTTTTTGCGGTTTTTCTTTCTTTTTTTTTTTTTTTTTCTTTAACAACTGAAGAGAGAAACAGCCCTAAATCAACACAACGTAATTGACTTTAGAGCGGTTTAATTGATTCTTTCCACTCTCCAAAGTCTATAGATTGCATTTGACAAAACATCAGCTATTAATGAACGTGTTGAAATCACCGGACATAATAGACACCGAGATTTGGG